AACGTGTTGTTCAAATATCTTTTCTTACGAAGAACCAATATGAACCAAATACTTATTAGTTAACGGTATATATATTTACTTTAAAACTTCTTCTGCAAAGTTGAGTAAATTCAGCTTTGGAGTTGTCGATAGTATTAGCGAAATTATGTAGCGGAGGAAAGGAAGAATAAATAATCTATAAAATAAAATAAACTGTGGATATATCAATATAGTTTAGTATTTTATTTAACCAAATAAATTAGAATCAATGAAATTGATGTATCCCTGTCCTATTTAATAATTTATCCGAAAAAAACTATAAAATATCTACAACGGCATTTTGTATTATAAGTATATGTACTATGACTGACCTGAAAGACAAAAACAATATTAGCCACTAACCAGCAAAATAGTTTACCCAAAGAAAATGCTATGAGCAGCAATTTTTCAAAATTATTCAATATTCCATGTTACTCTTAGTTACAGCAGAAAGATGACGTAGCAGCATATGAATCACAACCCTGCTAGTAGTTAGTTAAAGAGAAGAGGAAAAAACCAGTCTAGCACATAAAAAACGTATTTAACTGCAATTTGCAGTCATCAATCAAAATGGCAATTCATGAACGCTCGTCACCTTCGTGCAAGGCAAAGAACAAAGACCCTAGCTCTCAAACTTTTGCCACATGCTCACATTCAGCTCGGCCATACATACAAGTACATACAAATATGTATGGATGTATATATATTTTTTTTTTTAGCAATTTTACCTGATGAAGCGTTGCAGTCAATCTGTGGACCAGCATAAAGCAAGGAAGGAGTGCCATTGCTGCTTTCATCAAAACCAATTAGGATTTTCTGCTTGAGCCAGCAAGAGGCAGGCAGGCAGCCAGCCAGCCAGCCAGACAGCAGTTTTGTCCTTCAGTGTTTGTTGAGTGGAAAATTGCGTTGGTTTTTCCATTTTCAGTTTAATCATTTTTTCTTGTTGCTGCCCTTCCCAAGCCATACTCGTTGTTCTTTTTTTTGCCAACGACATCAATTTGCCATCGAAACGAACGTTGCTATTCCTATTCCACTATACGAGTATATTTTTTCTTCAACAACTTGCTAAATGATACGTGAAAATGACAGTTGACGAGATCGATGACGTTAGTTTTGCATCAGCATCGGATGATGATGATGATGATGCTGTTAATACTAAAACCGACGATGATGATGACGATGATGACAACGCGGCGTCTGATGCTGGTTGAACGATGTACCTTGACAAATTGGCACATGGCTGTTGGATATTGAAATTTGGCAAGATTTGATTTATGCGCCAAGTTTTCGCAATTCCCACGCTTACAAACTTTAACAACTCAATTACCCGCCGCCTGCACTTTCCACACTTCGATAGGCGTAACAACTAACCAAGAGTCAATTTATCCACGACCTTCGGCGACACGCGTTCCTCATGCGATTTCAATTAACTGCGCAACTAATTAGATTGAAGCAATTTTCAGCCAAATAAATGCGAATTAAATTGTCACTTTCCACTTGTTAGTGCAATGCTGCCTGCTCACATTTTTTCCCACCAAAAACAAACAAACCAGCCCACTGTCGCCTGTCTATTTCCAGCAACTAAACTTGCTGTTTGTGTGATTTTTTGCATACATGCCACGCGTGGCCTCCTTTAGTTACGCATCGTGTCACGAGGCATGCAAACAATAAATTTCAACCCCACAATTGTGCGCTGATTTAAGTACAATGTTGGAATACTGAGAACCCGAACAGGGATTACAACGTTGCGGCAACAAGCAATGCCGAGCCATGTCGTATCGTGTGCGTGAAATGCCAAAATTAACTGGTCTAATTACCTGAACAGCAGACCAAAAGGAGCAAAGGACATCAGCATTTCATGGGAAAGTCTGTTCTTCCATATACAATTAGCTGTAGAATTCGGTTTGTGCCAAATTAATTCGAAAGACGACTTGTGGATCAGCTTCTATGTAACGATTCGCTTCTAAATTTGGAAAAAAAAAACAAACAAAAATTGCCCTGCACTTGTTTTTTTTTTGTAAGATGCCTAATCAATACGAAGAATGTAGATCTGCTTACAAAAAATCATAAAATGTAACAATTAATTGAAACCATTTACGAGTATTGGCTTTACCGATGGACCGCCTTGGCTCTACCATACAGACCAAGTGTTCAAACCATGCGTCGATATATATATGCCTATAGTCACTTCAATTTTCTAAAACTGCATACGAGTTACAACTGTTCTGTAAATATAATTGTTAAGCTTTTTAGGCAAGATAAGAAGCTAAACAAGATCGAGATAAATACAAATTTCTAACTAGACAAAACAATCGCTTTATGAAGTTACAATGTAAAATAATAAAACACTCGATCTTTTGCAACTCAATATGCAATGTCAACCGACGTGGGAAATTAGAATAGTTCTGATTACTAATTTATTTATTTTTATTTATTTATTTTATTTATTTTATTTATTTTATTTATTTTATTTATTTTATTTATTTTATTTATTTATGTCAACAAACATTGACTGTCGACGTAGTACATAAAAATTATAAAAAGCATCTTATAAGCTAGAAAAGCCTAAGAAGGAGAAATCTAATCAAATTACAATAATATCTAATTAACGCCTCCGACCCGGTGGGGGAATATTATTTGCCCTTCGGCTAGCTATTCTTTAATTATTGAATCTTCAATATCAAATTGGTTGCTACTTTTCTATCATCATCGTTTATAGGTTTTGAATTTAAACAGATTCTAAATAATGCTACATGTTTAATGATTATAATAAATAACATTAAGGAAAAATCAACTTTTCCCTTAGACATCTTCTAAAGTTTGTTTTATGCGTGCACGCTCTGACTTGAGATCAGCCATTGTAAGAGCAATTCACTTAAAGACAACGGCTGTTTTAAAGCTGGCTGGCAGAAGCAATTTTCTAAATAAGCAAAACCCCGAATGTTAAAATAATAAAGCACTGCCGAGCGCACAGAAGAAAGCCAAAAACGACAGCCGCAACAAAACGAGAGAAGGAAGAAGAAAAAAACTCATCAAAATGCTGGCAACGTCTGCGCAGCGCGACGCTTTTGTCATTTGTGTCTGTTTGTGTGCCTGTTGTGTGGGTGTGCGCTCGCTTGTCTCTTTGTATGTGTGGGTGTGGGTGTATGTATGTGATTGTGTGCACTGCGCAAACTTCAGTAATAAATTACAAAGTTGCCATTTTGTTTTTTATCTGCTTGGCGAGCACGCCACGTTTTCTTTTCTGTTCGCTCCGTTTCGTTTCGTTTCGTTTGGTTTGCTCTTTCGTTTTGCTTTTGCTTTGTGCACTTTTTGTTTGCAAAATAATTTTGATTTATTTTTTGGCGCCGTTGTCGTCTCTCTCTCGTTTTTTATTTATTTTATTTATTTTTTTTTAGTATTCTGCTTGCCTTCTCTCCATACACTTTGCTTAGCTTTTATGTGCCACCATTTGCCTTTGCCTTTGCTGCATACTTTTGGGGGTGGCTTGCGAGTTTATTTATATAAAGCTCTCCATTAAAAAGAAGCAGCAACAGTAACAGTAATAGCAACGGCAACAACAACAACAACAACCGCAACAACAACATCGACAGTATTTATGTGTATTTGTATTTATAATTACTGCACATGCGTATTACAATGCGCCCCTTTCGCAGTTATTGTCTTCATTTTTGTGGGGCTTTGTGCAAGATTGTGGGTGTATGTGTGTGTGTGCGTGTGTATGTGTGAGTGTGCATGTGTTTGGGGAAGGTATTATATGCTAAGAGTGGCAGACATTATACATAAATTTTCAACTTGGCGGCAATATAATAAATTATGCGTCCTTCCGACTGCTCTCGTTAAGCTACAAAGTATGGCTGGCAAGTTTTTCGAGTTGCTAAAATTAAAAGAAAAACAATAAAATGTAAGTTTTGGTTTTATAATTCTTATTTCGCTAATAATCATAACTAAATATGAATCAGAAAATGCCAGCTATAGTCTGCTATGCAGAATACATTGTCGGATAGACATTGTTACTCGTATATAAGTATGTATGTACATGCACAATAATTTATTTTTACAGTTAACATAATTAATTTATTTCAAGTATGAATTTAAGCTGCAGAAACATCCTGCTCGTGATGGTAAAGATAGTTGAAATTCTTTTATTTTATGAATAGAATGGCAGAATTTCTTAAAGGAATGTAGTTTTTTAACAAATTTGTGAAGATTCGGGCTCACTATTAAGGTAATTTTTAAAGCAGTGACTACATTAAAAGGAAAAAGCCATTAAATAGCTAGACCTGATAGATTGGGACATTTTTTTTTTTACAAATTGTTAACAAAGTTCTTTTAATTTGACGCTAAGTCGTTAAGTAATGCCTATTCATGAAATATAAAACATTCAAGTCAACATCAACTAACCGTCAAGTAGTGCCTAGATCAGTACTGTCACCTAAACCTCTAAACCTCTAACAATTTCAATATTACCCATTAGTTCTGTATGTAGGATGTGGAAAATAAAACGGTATCAGCAGACTAATACTGACTTTCAACTAATCTACTACTCTTTTTGAAATAAGTGAGTTAAAGATATAATAAGAGTAGTTTTCGACAAAGCTAAGGAGAATCGAGTTGAAACTTTCAAAACTATTTTTTAACTCGAATGTAAGCAGTTTTAAAATACAAACTCAAGCAAATTTGTATTTGAAAATCCAGATGAAGAATATTAATAGGGAATGCAGTCAGCTATTGTTTTTTATTTTATTTTATTTTTTTTTGTATACACGTTTTTTTTTATAACATAATTAAAGTTCTCTTTATTTTTCTATGCTGATAAAGGTCTTAAACCAGCAGGGCAGTGCAGTACAGCTATTTCTGTTATTTTCTGTTATGTTACTGTTTAGTGCTAGTTTTAAGTCTAAATTTGTAATGGATGTTTTATATTTTCATCCATTTATTTCCATCACATTTTTATGCAACTCTTTGTCTCTGTTTTGTAGGTGTGGTTCAAGAATCGTCGTGCCAAGTGGCGTAAGCGTGAGCGGAATGCGATGAATGCCGCCGTGGCTGCCGCTGATTTCAAATCAGGGTTTGGGACACAATTCATGCAGCCTTTTGCCGATGATTCGCTATACACTTCATATCCGTATAACAACTGGACCAAGGTTCCATCACCGCTGGGCACCAAACCCTTTCCATGGCCCGTGAATCCGCTTGGGTCGATGGTCACAAGCAATCATCATCAGAACTCGGTGAATTGTTTCAATACTGGGGCGAGTGGTGTGTCGGTGAGCATGAATAATTCGATGCTGCCTGGTACGATGGGCTCTACGTTGACCAATACAAATGTTGGTGCTGCGCCCTGCCCGTACACGACACCCGCTAATCCGTATATGTATCGTGCTGCTGCGGAACCCTGCATGACCTCGTCCATGTCTTCGAGCATTGCCACGTTGCGTTTGAAGGCCAAACAGCACACCACCGGTTTCACGACCCCCTATTCGGCACACTCGCCCGTCTCACGATCCAACTCCGCTGGCCTCTCCGCCTGTCAATACACGGGCGTGACCGACGTTGTCTGAGAAAACGCTCTCGGTGCTCTGCTCAATCAGCATCAGCACCACTTGCAGCATTTCTCCAGCACCGGCGGCGGCGGCGGTGGTCAGCATTTGGGAAATAATGGACTGCAGCAACACTTGGTCAACAGCAACAACAACAGCCTGTTGCATGGCAACAACAACAACCATTTGCTCTTGGACCACAGCGATTTGGGTCTGAGTGGCGGCGGCTCTGGTGTTGGGGGTGGTGGCGGTGCTGATGACGGCGGTGGCACTGCGACCAACATTGATGACAACAACAAATCACCGCTCAGCCAACGACATGGCGACTTGAGCGCCAACGGTCTAATGGTGGGCGCTGGTGGCGCTGGAGGAGGTGGGGGTGGAGGTGTCTCAAATGGCAACGACAATGGCGAAGATGTGGACGAGGATGTTATCGATTGAGCATACAAGTATATACAAACAAATTTTTAAATAAATATATTTAACATTTAGGCGTTCGCATACAAACAGACCCTAAAGAAAAAAACTATAAATACACATTTAAATAAATGAAAACCAAACATTTGTTATTGTAATGAAAGTGCATAATTCAGCAAAAGGAAATTTAGCATTAAGCATACTTCATTAATTTCTAGATGTCAAAGTTTCTATGGAGCAACATTTAAAACCAAAAACCACAAAAAAAAAAACAAAAAGGAAAAGCAAACTTTTTTGAAGAACAATAATTACATTTAAATAATGGGAAAAATGATAAAAACAAGGCCGACTTAATGTGCAGTTGTAATTAGTTTGAATTATGCGTGAAACAAAAACGGAAAATGCCAACAAAAAATTGTATTGTAATTAAACATTTTTGCGTTTGAATTTCACATTTTTTTTTCGATTCACTAATTTGCATTTTCGCGTCGAGATTAAAAAGGGTAATTATTTTTATTTGGAACACAAAAATTTAAACAAAAGTAAAGCTAACGGATAAAGATAAGTGTTTTGTAAATATAAAGGCAAATATATAGCTCTAGGCAGGAAACAAAAAAAAAAAAAATATATATGCATATATCGATAAGATGTTTGCACTTAATAAATAAGAATACAAATAATAACTATGTGAAAAATAGCAAAAGAGAAAATAATAAGAAAATGCCAAATTATTTTAGCAGAATGTGCCAAGAAATGTTCTTTATAAAATAAACCTTCAACTAAAAGTCTTATGTCTGCAATTTCTGTATTCTTTCCGCAAACTTCCCCACAATTCGGCAGCAATAAAATGCATATAGCAGTTATACCAAATATAAAATTATATATACCAAAACGTATCAAGTCAAATGTATTGTAAACAAACAAAAAACAAAAAACAACCAAAAGAATGGCAAAACTATATCAAGTCGTAGCAGGTTTTAAGGAGTTGTCTAGTCGTATAAATCGAGCAAAAAGAAGAAAAAACTACTAAAAACAAACCTATATAAATATATATTTAATGAATAATTGTAAACTTAATATTACTAGTTATAGAAATTGAATCAAAACAAAAAAAGAAAAGAACAATAAAAATTATGGCAAAAAAAAGAACGATGTTTGTGTTTTTAATTTGTCGCATATCGAGGCGTAAATAAATTTTCAACCAATATAAATTACATTGTAAATGCAAATGCAAATGAGCCGCAGATAAATAACAAATGAGTTTTCGAAAAAAATATATATGCTAAATGAAAAAAAAAACCTGAAATTGTAATTTATGCGCAAACAGCAGGCCAGCAGATAGGGAGGTAACAATTTAATAAGCCGCAACCACAGCCAAATTGTAGGCAAGCCACCGAACTTCATTTAGACGCGATGGTACACTGCCCCCTTCCTGCCACCCACTACCAAGGCAAGTGTTTAATTTGCAGCAGTCTGGCACGAGAAATACATCGACTGGTGCAAAAAGAGCGATCCATCCATCAATTTATTCATTACAATGAAATTATGTCGTATTTATATGCACCCCGCCGACCCACCGACCCACCGAACCGCCGACATTGTCCTGCCCAGTGTGGCAAGTGACACGGGGCGCCCCACCCTAATGGCACAAATGCCTTTTGCCTGCCAAAAGGGGGGTGGCGGCAAGTAGAAAATCACCGCACAATAAAAATAATAATAAAAGGACATGCTGTTTGTTGCTGCCTCAGTTGTCGCTCCTGCTGCTCCTTTTGTTGCTGCTGTCTATGCAAAATATCGCTCATAAATGGCCAGAGGGTTGGCTTCAACTTAGGTTTCGGCTTCGGCTTCAGCTTGAATTTGAGTTTGAATTTGAGTTTCCATTTGCTCAGGGTGGTCGTGGTGGTGGTGGTGGGAGCGCATCAAATTTGAATTTCATATGCTAGCCGCTGATTGAAGGCACTGCCACTGCCACTGAGACTGGGACTGGCTAATAAAGTCTCAGGCGAAGGGTGCCCGGCATCTGAAAATTCCCGCTGCGTTAAGCACCGTTTAACTGGGCCCCGTGGGTGATGTGCAGGGAGTGCGGGGCGAGAGTCAAGGCAACCCAGGCAACTGGGCCACCATTTGATTTATTTTATTTCCTTTGCCGCTGTTAATGTTTTAATAAGATTGATTTTATTGCGGCTGCCGCTGTGAAGCTACAATGCCGCTCCTTATTGTGGGTGCCAAAAGGGTTAATAAGTCGCCAGCCCGCTGTTTAAGAACTTTATTAGCCTATACCTAAACAAATGAAACAATTTACTTTAGACGCTTGCTACCAAAATGTTAAAAAAAAACAATACCAAACAAATTGCAAATAGTTTTTCGCATATGAACTTTCAGTAAAAAATAAGTGACATGATTAGTGTAGCCACAATAAAACACTTTTGCCCGAAAAAAAAATCAGGTTTTTAATTTTATAATTAATGTTCAAGTATTTTAGCTCGAAAATGTATTTCACTTTGATTAATTCGAAGACATTTAGACTCGGTTCTTTTTTCAGAACATTTTATTCAATTTAGAAATAAATTTGATAAGATTTTAATATTGACTTTGTTAACGTCTACGGACAATAGATTTGATCGAAGACAGAAAATTGGCTTTGATTCATAAAATATTGAATGGTAAGAGCGGCGGTGATGTTTTGTTAAATAGGTATTTGCGCCTTAAGTTTTGTATATCCGAGTCGGAATAAACCACAATAATTTTATATTTTCTTTATATTGTGAATGGTACATATATCCTGAAATAATCTATGTATTGGGTTGTGGTGTGTAGTATATTCATCGCAGATATTTTTTAAATCTAGTTTGTTTGTTGTTTTAAAGAGGATTATGTCTTTAGGAAAAAAGAAACAGTTCTAAGAATGTACAAAAGTGGAAAATTATATGCTCAAAGTAGATTTATATACTCTACATAAATGTAGTTAGTGCAGAACATAATATGTGTGGAAATATGTATAGTATGCGTTTTTGACTCAATGAGAATACGCAGGCAAATAAACTTAAAAACAAAGTCTTTAAATATATAGTTTTCTGGTATCCAAGCAATTAACTAATATTTTTGATTTCAACTCAGTTTCTAATGTTATCGAAGATATATCGTAGACAGTTCTAAAGACAATCACATATCTTAAAAATCAAGAACCTTTATAAAATTCATGTTTTCTAAAAAATAACAAAATAAACTATATATTTTGCTTTATTTGATTAAAAAAGTTGTATTTGAAATTCCTGTCAACTTTGTATTACCAATTCGCTGTAATATTTTACTTCAAGTTCTTGCTGTAAGAAAACTTATCAAAGCAATAGAAACAGTTAGCCCCGGGACCATCAATTATTCTTCATTGCGTAATTAACTTTTTGGCGTAATTAATGCCAAGTCTAATTATTGTTAATCACGTTTAGCCTGGTGCGCAAAAATGTGTTTTGGGGGTTGAAATATATGAGCTTCAATTAAAATGAGCAACATGCCAAATGAAATATTTAACATAACAACGCAATATATATACATACTTGTACATACGCACATATAGTACATATGTATATCTAAATAGAAAGCTGCTCCTTTCAGAATCTGTTTCTGTGTTTGTTTGTGCCTTTGCGCCATCTTGAAATTGTCTTAAGACGAGGAGCGCACACAACGCATGCTGTCAGCCATTATTTGCCTGCCAGACCCAGACCCCAAGCCCCAAGCCCCAAGCCCCAACCCACACCCACACCCAGTCCAACATCTCATGTTCAGCCCACACCCCCGCAACCCTCTCTCATCCCCACAGTGCTTAGCAATCAGCCAACCAGCCAACCAGGCAACTTTTCCTTGGGGCTCGTGCATCATTCCCCATCATTTGCTTTGTCAGTATGCGGCAGCTACATCATTATTATTGTAGTTGTTGTTGTTGTTGTTGCTGTTGCTGTACAAACTCATCATCATCATCAGCAGCAACAGCAACAGAAATAGCAGCTTCAATGTTGTTGCTGTTGTATTTTTCCCTTAGGTACTTGTCTTTCTTAACTCATTGCGTTGGTAATAAATCTTTGGCCTTCTTATCTGCGACGCACAGTTTTTGGACAGCTTTTGTTGTTGTTGCTATTGTTGAATATACATACGCACATACAAAAATACATACATATGTACTTACTTACCTACATATTGTCAGCCAGAGAAAGAGAGAGAGATAGAGTGCTCTTTGTTTAACCCGTTTCAGGATATGCAAATAAATGGTTAAGACTTTATTTTAGTTAGCATGCCAATGCTGTTCCCTAACTTCCCCTGAGTAATGAGCAACGCCTTAACTTTAATTTCAATTTCCGACAGATTTTTACGAGCTGGCGGGCTTAAATGCAAATGAAATATGTTACGAATAATATGCATCATATAAAGCTAATAAAGCAAAGCAAAAGTAAAATGAGAACAAATAAAAAGGGACTTTTAATATGAGCTCGCGAGCGCGTAAATGAAGACAATAACATGCGACTCGATTGTCCTGGCCACATGTTTCTTTTATGGCCAACAAAATGCTCCCAAAAAAGCCATGCACACACACACACACACACACACAAACACACATAAAACTTGACACCATTTTGCTGCCGGTCGTGCGCTTTATTTATTTCAAATTTACTTTGGCCATTTTATTATGGCAAATTTTGACCTAAAAATCATAAAAAATTGTAATCAAAATGCAGGCACACACACACACCAAAACATTTTATGGCCGCAAAGTGAGCAAAGGAAAGCATCAGCAGAAAAAGACCACAATTCCAAACCGAAGACTTTTGTACACCCTTCAAATGAAACAAAATGTTCCATAACAAATGCAATGAGTTTATTTTAACATATTCAAAAGAAGAAATTAGGTAGCAGATATTGAATTGAAATAAGAACAAATTAAATTCTGCAAATTCTTACCAACACTCAAAATTCGAGTAAATCTTGGACAATTGCTGAAGTTATAGAATTTTGTGTGGTTTTTGTTGTTTTTTTATATATGTTATTTTACGATTTTGATCAATTTTCAGAATATACTAACAATTGAATAACAAAAACAGTAAATGCGTTA